GTTAATTCCTTTGGAAAGTCTGAAACCTCTGTTACCTTCTTAACTCCAAGGTCAGATTGTAACACACATACTTTGAAAGAGACCCTCCAGAGCTGCAGAACAGAATTGTTTACATGTTCTTAAACTAAGCACACATTAAAGGGAAGGCTGGTTCTAATTTTTATTAACACAGGGATACAAAGTAGTGATTTAGAGAAGTTATTTTATTCAATGAGAACTTTCTGATTACTTACTTGAGTCAAGTGACAGGGAGACTCTGGGGGGAAAAGATAGGCAAGGCTCTTGCTTTAGTTGCTCTTACATTTCAGAGGGAGGGCAGGCCTAAGGCCTAGCAAAGACTAGAAGAAATGCAAATAATGCCATGCGCCAGCAAGATGGGCAGTAGGAAACAAAGTAGCACGTGATCTGGGCTAGAAGCTGACTTTAAGTGGATTTGTACATGTGAGTCCCAGGGTGGCACAGTTCAAACACTCAGCTGCTAACCGAAAGGTCGGTCGTTTGAGTTCACTGAGATGCCTCAGGCAAAAGGCCTGGCAATTTATTTCTGAAAAATCAAGTCACTGAAGACTCTATGGGCACAGTTCTATGACACTTAAGGGGTCTAAGTTGATATTGACTCTGGTGGTGGTAAATACATTAGGTGGTCAGGAAAAGCCCCTGCCCAATACCTTGGGGAGAAGAGCATTCTTGGTAGAGGCAACAGCAAGTGCAATGGCCATGGGTCTGAGTGAGCTATGCATTTGAGGAGTTGACAAACATTTCCCAAGCTGTCAAATATGCTGCAAACCAGCTATTAAATCCCCTGATGTTTAATCAAGCATACACATTGTGAGAAGATGGGAGATCATTATGGCACTATGTTTATGTAGCATTTTCAGCCTGTTGCCATGAGCTGTAAGAAGGAATGCCCTGGACTAAGGGAAAGCAGGAGGACCTGCGAGACTCTGAAGCTTCATCAAACAAGGCACTGAGCTGGCGGAGCCCCATCAACTAACACAGGCAGACACGAGCATCTCATCCTACTGGGACCTGTCAGCAAACTTACTAACACTTCCAAGAGTTTTCACTCTCAACCCAACTGTTTGCATTTCAGAAGTAACTATTACAACTTATTGTTAATATGTCCAGTTTCCTCTTACATGATCATTAGTCACCTGCATTGAGGGAAGGACTAGGGCAAGACTGGGCCACCTCAGGGCAGCAGAAGCAAATTTGCAGGCCATAGTTTACTATCTAAAGTGCCTTTTCATGCAGGACTTTAGCCATGAGTAGGGTCTGTCACTGCTACAGCCCTGAGGCACAGGAATGGCACTTGGTGAGATAGGAAGAGACCTGCTGAAGGCCTTCTCCATGCCCTCATCAAGGTTCCAGGAGGGCCCAGGAACTCTGTTGTTGTTCATCATTAAATGTTTTCCAGCCTGGCTTAGGAAAGACCTCCTATGTGTGCCAGGTCTAGTTCTGCTGCCAGATTCCATGGATATTTGTGACAAGATTTGGTTAGCCACAAATAAGAGCTACTAACCAGAACCAAGGTAACCATAAACTCCAGACTCTGGCAGGAGCTTTAGCCTGACGAACTAGGAGTACATCCTTCTATTAAAGAAAACAGAACTGTCCTGTGTGGTCTGGATAACACTTCTCTACCATGCTGTGCCTCTGTGTCTAGTGGTTGCTAGCAGACCCAAAACCCAAGGGAGACGAAGTACAGGCCAAAGTAAGCAAGAGACCCACCGCACACGTTTGCTCAGTCACCTGGTGACCTAGTCTCATTATGCTTGCAGCAGTTCCTATTTTGGCTTAAGAACGTGCAGCCACTTGTACGCCGGGAGGAACATGTGAGAGCCCTGGCCTGGATGCTCTAAGAACCACAGGGCTCTGGTCAGCAGCCTACTCTCTCAACCAGCCCTTCATTGCTCTGACAAAGCAGAATCGAATGTTTTCTGGGGAAGCCAGGTTCCTTTTAAAAGGCTTTGCTTTTCCTTTAGAAGTGCACCATTTGGAAAAATTACTAAGAGATGTTTTCTCCTCATCTTAACACTGGAGAAGCCTGTCGGCTTATCAGAATACATAACCATACCATGCCCAAAACGACGCTGTCAAGTTGATTCTGATTCACAGCAACCCTATCAATAGGAAAGAACAGAATTGTTATAGGATTCCCAAGACAGGAGAAGAAATAATGCATTTGAAATTGAGTGCTGGCAAAGAAAACGGAATAGACCATGGACAGCCAGAAGAACCAACAAGTCTGTCTGGAGGAAGTATGGCCAAATTGCAACTTGGAAGTGAGCATGGTGAGACTTTGTCTCTCAGACTTTGGACATGTCAGGAGAAGCAGTGCCTATAGAAGAATCCTATTGGTAAAGTGGAGGATCAGCAAAAATAGAAAGACCCTCAACGCATCAGACACAAGGGTTGCAACAACAGGTCAAACATCACAACAACTGTGAGGATACCACAGGACTGGGCAGTGTTTCATTCTGCTGTGCAAAGGATAGTTTTGAGTTGGAACCGACTTGACAGCACTTAACAACGTAGTTGTTTTACAGAAGCTGACTGCCGCAGCTTTGTCCCTTAAACCACATGGAAAGAGATGGTACTCACAGAGCTCCCTAGTGGCTGCTAAAGTGAGCAGGGCCTTCACTCTGTAGGTTCTCTGTGGCAAATGTGGAATTCTGAAAATCTTAGGGTTCCTGTTGCACTATCCAAAGTGTTTTCAAGGAACAGAAACTAATTAACTATCTGTATTAGGGCCTGCGGATTAAACAAAGCGAAAAGATGCCAATTGAGACTAAAACCAAACCAAAGCAAACGCCTGAGAAATAGAACCCAAATCAACGTCTACACCTTTTTTTTTTCCCTTCATGATTGGTTATTTTGCATTTAGTCCTGCCAGAATTCTCTGGTCAACAGAGAGAGGTGGATTACAGTAACCCCAGAAAAACAGCAACTCCTACCCTCCCTACCACATTTAGATGTATACTTCTTGTTGTTAAGTGCCGTCGAGTTGGTTCCGACCCATAGCGACCCTGTACAGGGTTTCCGAGGCTGTAAATCTTTACGGGAGTAGAAAGCCTCATCTTTCTCCCGCGGAGCAGCTGGTAGTTTCGAACTGCTGACCTTGCCGTTCCCAGCCCGATTGGTAACCACTACGCTACCAGAGCTCCTTAGATGTATACTTAAATAACGCTTAACAGATTCAAAAGTTCAGGTAGCTAGGGGCCAAGTTGGTGCATTTTTTAAAAAGATGATGTTATGTTTTCCTGAACCTGAAACAATTTACCAGCATAATCAAACTGCCATCTCCTTCTCTTGTACTTGAATCACCTTGCTTCAACTTCACAGAGCCCTTTCTAATGACCAGTACCCAAGGAGAGGCCACAGTAGAGAAGTACCTGGCCCAGAAACAGTGCACCTGGCAAGGGGGAGTGCTGCTTCAAGTACTGTGTTTCCACCTGGCTCTGGGTGCAAGCAGTCCTCACCAGGCAGTCTCCAAGTCCACGCATAAAAATACACTATGAGATTTTTTTATCAGTCTGTACACATCAGCCCTGATAAACCATATTCATTAAGGAACTACAAATGAACCCTGAAAAAATGTTCCTGTAGCTGTACTAAATGTCCCATTTGCGTGACATACTTAATTTGTAATGGTTTGTGGTCCAGTCCTACTGTCATGTGTGCAAGGCTTTTGGAGAAGGGGACATAACCCCCGTTCTGGGTCTCCTGCACAAGACTGAGTTGCCACAGTCTTGAGGGCCAGGGCAAGAGGAGCTCGTGTTTGGTTTGGAACTGCTTGTTTCCAGCCCTTCAGCCTGCCCTGTGAGGTCCTCTAAAGTCAGGCCCCAGACTGGTCTCTGATGCTTCTTGTAGAAACTGCCTGTCTACTTTCCTAACATGAATGCCTTCTATATTCCGTGAACTTTTTGGAACCTCTTCATCATAGTCTTCTCTTTTATCTAAACGGCCTTCCGGCCTCTCTGCCTATTAAAATCCTAATCCCGCTCCACAAGGGGCCCAACTCCTACCTCTACCATGAAGCCTCCCAGCAACTCTGGAGACGTCACTGCTCTTATGCCCACTATTGTGTACTCTTGGGGACTTACCACACACCATTGTGGGTTGCAGTGAATGGTGTGTGTGCCATATCTCTCGGTTAGATGTGACCTACTCTAGATTTGAGGGTAGATGAGACTCTAGTTTTTAATGGGGGGGAGGAACAAGCTCATTCACATGTGGCCTGACTCACACAAGAATCAGGACATGGGAATGTTAACTGAATTGTCCTCAGTATGAGTCCTGTTTTGACTTTTTGGTGAAACGAACTTGAGCAGTGTATAAGGATTAAACCGACGATACTGAGTTATACTAGTAGTATGGCACTCAGCCTGTGGGCCGGCACCTTAGAAAGCACGTGCAAAAGGCACCACGGGCAGTGAAGAACTCCAGTGACCAACATTCACATGGGCTGGTCACATGTTGTTGTTAACAACAACAACAATCTCAGATGGTCCAACTCTGGGGCCAAGTGGGTTATGTCCTGCTCCGGAAGCCGGCCACTTGCTGGGTGCCTTGAGTGTGGGGTCTGTGCTTTATTTTCCTCTGGCCTCCCTCACTGCTCACTCCTCAATTCACATTTGCTGAACAACTGAATTCCTCTTTATTCTGAGAGTTCATACAAATACAGGTACCTTCATGTATGCAACATTACTAAAGAAATAACAGCCGGACTGACACAGAGAACAGATATTGCCCATAGTTTTTCGTTTTTCATATGATGATGGGATTGTTATCCAAGCCACTAGTGTTTACATTGTCTGATTCCAACAACAACCAACAGAGATGAACTGGAAGCAAACAGGAGAAAGCAAATATCCAGGGTGCTGAAATCATGGCACCTGGACCTCCACTGTAACCTTCAGCACCATTTCATGATCTTGTACAGTTGATACAGCAATGTTGAAGAAAAAGTCATTAACACAAGATGATTGCTGGGACTCTCAGGATGCTTTGGCTTTCACCTTGGCGAGCAGCATCTCGTTCTTGCGGCCCTCCTGGAAGGAAGCAGAGTAAACAGAGACTTGGCATGAGTACCTTTTGGAAGCCCAGGAGTTCCCGACGGTCATCTTCTCCAGGCCTGCTAGAGCTGCCTCTTGACCAGCTTACACCAGTGTCTCCCATTATGCTGCCATTAGCATGGGAAGACTTGGTAGTGACATGAGGGCCTTGGGGCCAAAACAGCTACAATGATGTTTTCATTTCCAGACTGTCAGACTTAGGATAAGATCAAATTAGGCACTGTCATGCCAAAAGACTTTAAGAAGTCTCTAAAATCTTCAAGAGGACGAATGTACACAGCAAATACTTGGCTGCCAATCTTGGACTACTACAGTGAGGAAGGAGGGAGGTTCTTAGGACAACATCCAAAGGAATCAAAAAAGGCTGCCTTGTTTTACACAGCAGGCAGAACCCATGGAAAAGGTCTAACTTTAACACAGTGACAAATGACAATATCCTTGACTCCAAGAAAGAAAAAAATTCTCCAAAGATGGAAGAGATGTTCTTCAAGTGACACCTCCCCCTTACAAAAAGCTGTATATACAACATCTGTGCTATTGTTGAGGGAGGTGCTGGCTATACATATGGATGTAGTAGCTCAAAATACCAACTGAGAGGGAAGGAGTCTTCACAGCAAGGATCAATCCTATCCCCTCAGTACACAAGGTTGACAGGGATGGGCAACTTAGACACCAACAACACACAGCAAAATGACAGCAATCAATTCTCACCTATCATTAATTACATGGAATGCAAATGATTAAATGCACCAATTAAGAGACAGAAGAGTAACAGAATGGTTAAGAAAACAGGACCCATCAATATGCTGGGTACATGAGAAACATTTTAAGCACAAAAAATACACTGAGAATCAAAAGATGAAAAAAAAAACAGTAAGTAAATGTCAGTAAAGAAAACAGCAGGAATGGCAATATCAAGTTCTGAAAACAAAACAAAACAGACTTAGGCAAAAACCACCAGGTTCTTGTTATTAAGTGCCATTAAGTTGGTTCTGACTCACAGCAACCCTTAAAGGGTTTCCTAGGAGCAGCTGTTGGGTTTGAACCGCCAACCTTGAGGTTAGCAGCCCAGTATTTATCCTACAGTGTCACATCAGCACTTTAAAACCAAGCAACAAGAAAGGATATTAGAGATTATAAACAAAGGGTTAACCAAGCAAGCACTCATAGCCATAAATTTATACACTCAATGAAAACACCTCAAAATACACAAATCAAACTCTGACAGAACAGAAGACGTAAACAGTGAACTCCACAGTAACAGAAGGAGACTTCAAAACTCCACTTTTGATGACGGACAGAATAACTAGAAATAAACTCAGTAAGGTACAGACAGAACTAAATAAAATCAATCTACCAACTTGACCTCATACACAGAACAGTCCATCTAAACTCATTTCCAATGCAAATGGAACAGCCTCCAGATTAGGCCACACACACACACACACACACAAATCCTCCAGATTAGGCCATCCATATGTCAGTCCACAAAGCAATTCTCAAAACATTTAAAATACCAAAATACTACAAAGCATCTTCCTATATCACAAAGCTATCAAAGTAGAAACCAACAAAAGGAAGGTCAAGGGAAAGCATCAAACACATGGATACCGTATAACACCCTAATTAAAATCTACTGGGTAACACAAGAATTAAAAAGTAAGTAAGAAAATTCCTCGAATTAATACAACATACCAAAAGCTTTGGCACACAGCAAAGCATCGCTCAGAGGCATTTATAACAATAAATGCAAACATCAAAAAAGAAGGAACCAGAAACAACACCTTAACCAACATCTGGAACAAGTAAAACTAGAGAAATAATAAACAGCAAAATAATCCTACAAGCATCAGAAGAAAATAAATAATAAAGAGCAGGCCAAAAAAAAAAAAATCAACAAAACTAAAAGTTGGTGCTTTGAAAATATTAATAAAAATCAGCAAAACCCTGGCAAATCTAACAAAAGGAAAGAGGAATATGATGCAAATAGCAAGAATATGAAATGGGTGACATCACAACAGAACCAAATGAAGTTAAAAAATAATACTATGAAGACGAAGTATATACTATAACAAATTTGAAAACCTAGAAGAAATGGACAAAGTTCTAGAAACACACTACCTAAACTAGCACAGACTGAAGTAGAAATTTTGAACAGAGTCATCACCAAAGCAAAAACATGAAGACTTCACAGTAAAAATTCCTAACAGAAAAAAGGCCTGGCCCAGACAGCTACACAAGGAATTCCACCAACCAGTCACAGAGCTGACACCAATTCTACTCAAACAATTCCAGAATATTTAAAAGGATGGCATACTTTTGAATTCAAATTCATTTTATTAAGTGAACATAAACCTTATACAAAAGCCAGGCAAAGACATGCCTAAAATAGAAAATAATAGACCAATATTTAGCATGGACATCAACTTAAAAATTCTCAGCAAAATCATAGCCAATAGACTCTGACAACATCTCAAAAAGATAATATACATTATGACCAAGTGAGATTCATATAAGACAAGCAAGGATGATTTTACATTAAAAACAAACAAACAAAAAACAAGGCAATGCACTACATAAATAAAACAAGAGTCACGCGATCCTATCAGTTGACACTGAAAAGACATTTGAAACAAATCCAACACCCATCCCTGATAAAAGCGTGTAATCAAACAGATTACAAAGGAAATTCCTCAACATAAATAAGGGCATATATACAAAGCCAATAGTCAACATCATTCTGAATGGAGAGAAACTGAAAACACTTCCCTGTGTCTTAGTTACATAGTGCTGCTATAACTGAAACACCACAAGCAGATGTCTTTAACAGATTTTTTCTTTCACAGTTCAGGAGGCTGGAAGTCCAAATTCAGAGTGCTGCCTCTTGAAGATGGCGTTCTCTCTGTCAGTACTGGAACAAAGTCCTTTGTTTTCTTTCAACAGCTGTAGGCCTGCCATCCCTTGTAGATCTCCATGTATCTCAGTATCCATTTCCCTCTGGCTTTAGGAGGTTTACAGCACGGGGACTCTGTCCACAGGATGTGCTTCATTCTTAGCTTTTCTATCTTGCTGGTAGTAGGTCCCTCTGATCTCTGCTCGTTTCTTCCCCCTTTTAACTCTTGGAAGATTAAATATGCTGCAAGCCACACCCCAGGAAAAATCTCCCTATATAGGATCAGGGTTGTGACAGATTCAAGGCTGTTGCTGTTGTTGGAGGAATTAGGTGCTATCCAGTCAGCTCCAACTCAGTGACTTTAGGCACCACAGAGGGAAACAGCCACACAATTGTCGCTATGTTTGAGCCCACTGCTACAGTCACTGTATCAATCCATCTTGTTTGGGCTCTTCCTCTTTTTTTTAAAACCAATTTTCTACTTTACCAAGTATGATGTGGTTTCCCAGGGACTGATTCTTCCATGGTCCTTTCAATATTCTTTGACAACATCACAATTCAAATACATCAATTCTTCTCCAGTCATCCTTATTCACTGTCCAGCTTCCAAATGCTTATGAGATGATTGAAAGGTGTGGCAAGTCTACTCTAAATCCTCTTATTACATCAAATCATAGTCATGGTAATCGTTACAAAACTGCCATGTTACAATTATTATGTAACTGACAAATTACTGAGACTCACAGCCCAGTCAAGGTAACACGCATTTTGGGGCGACACAATTCAATCCGTGACACCTTGCAGATAGGAACCACACAAGCATGCTCTTTATCACCACTCCTATTCAATACTATCCTGGAAGTTTTAGCCAGAGTAGTAAGACATATAAAAGACATCCAAATTGACAAAGAAAAAGTAAAATTATCTCTATTTGCAGCTGATATGATCCAATACATAGAAAACCCCAAAGACTCAGCAATAAAACTACTGAAACTCATTGAAAGATACAGCAAAACGGCAGGGTACCAGATCAGCATAAAAAACCAGCTGGATTCCTTTACACTAACAATGAGGACTCTGAACAGGAAATCAGGAAAACAATACCATTTAACAATAGCCACTCAAAAGATGAAATGCTTAAGAATTAATCTAACCAGAGATACAAAAGACCTATACACACAAAACTACAAAACACTACTACAAGTAACCAAACAAGACATACATAAATGAGCAACTATACATACCACGCTCCTGGATAGGAAGTCTTAACATTGTGAAAGTGTTAATACTACCCAAAGCCATCTACAAATATAATGCGATACCAATCCAGATTCCAATATCAATCTTTAAAGATACTGAAAAACTAATCACCAACTTTACATGGAAAGGACAGAGACCCTGGGTAAATAGAAGCCACTGAAGAGGAACCAAGTAGGAGGCTTCATACTTCCTGATCTCAAAACCTACTACACATAGCTGTGGTCGTCAAAACAGCTGGGTTCTGGTACTAACAACAGGTATACAAACTGACAGATTATCTAAGAACCCAAAGTAAGGCCACCCACCTACGGATAGCTGATCTTTGAATTTGAATTTCAGAGCTGTAACTCATTATATAAGGAAGACATAGTATCCTTAAATGGTGCTGATAAAATTGGATATTTATTTGTGGAAAAATGAAACAAGGCTCATAACTTGCACCGTATACAAAAAATGAACTCAAGGTACATCAAAGACCTAAATCTACAAAGCACATCAAAAAAACACACACAGGGACAAACTTAGGGGCCCTAATACATGGCATAAATGCATAATCAAACATAATTAAAAACACACAAGCAGAGGATGAATGCCTAGATGACTAGAACCTCCTAAATAAAGGACAATTATGCACATCAAAAGATTTCACCACCAGTGAAAACAACCCACAGACTGGGAAAAAAATTTTTGGCAACAAAATATTGAAGGGACTAATCTCTAAATATTATAAAAATGCCAACAGCGCAATAACAAAGAAGGCAAATAATTCAATTGAAAATTAGCAGAGGTCATGAACAAACATTTTGCCAAAGAAAACATTCAGGCAGCCAACAAACATGAAGAAATCCCCAAGATCATTAGCCAGTAAGTAGAAAGATGAAAATAAAAACAATAATATATCATCTCACCCCCACTATTAATAGCAAAGTTCAAAAAAACAGAAAAAAACAACTAGTGGTAGGGTATAGAGAGACTGGAACCCTGAGACACTTCGGATGGGGTTGTAAAATGGTGCAACCACTGTGAAAACCAGTACGATGCTTCTTGAAAAAAAGAGTTGGAAATAGAAGTACCATGTGACCCAGCAACCCCACTACTGGACATATAGACTTGGCAGCAAGAGGTACATTGTAGCACTATTCACAATAGCAAAACGATGGAAACAACCTGAATGCTCACCAGTGGACTAGGGATAAACAAACCATGGTACATATACAAAGCGGAATATTACACAACTTTAGAATAACAATGAATCTGCAAAACACCTCATGGAAGATCCTGGAGGACAGTGTGCTGACTGAAATCAATCAATCATAAAAGAACAAATATTACATTAGACTACTATTATAAAAAGTCAAAGAGAAGGTTTTCACACATAAAGAAACATTCTTTGATGGTTATCAGGGATGGGAGGGGAAGGCAAGTCACTAATTAAAGGTAGACACATACAACTTATGTGAAGGGAAAGGCAAAATAATGCTAAGATTTAGGATAGCAAGAAATTATGAAGGCTGTATGACAGAGTGATGAAACTAAGTGTTAAGGAGGATAAGAAAAAAGAAAAAGAATGAATGGTAAAGGAAATCACTGGGAGGATTACAGGGGTTAAAGGCAACAGAGACAAACACTATTATATACATAATCCTGTAATGACAATAGTCTGCAAGTGGACAGATGTATAGAAAGGCATACAAGCTGAACAGGTGTGAGGAGAATGGGACTGTACCCATGAATATATATATAGGTCTGACAGAGGACATTACTACATATTTATTTACCTAGGTTGCAAACACATCCATGAATAAAGTTGGGAAAACAGGATGCAAACTTGTGAAAACTTCTTAGACCTGGGGGTTCAGGAACATAGTCTCAGGGGACACTATGATATAATGTGAAGTACAACTATTGGTCTCTCCCTATTCAAAACAAAGGAGAATGCTACTTTGAGTCCTGTGTAGCACTGTGACTTAAGAGCGCTGGACCTCAAAGTCAGTTTGAACCACAAGGTCAGTGGTTCAAACTCACCAGCTGCTCCTCAGAAACCCTACTCAGGGTCACTATGAGTCAGAACTGACTTGATGTACTGAACAACAATGTGAAAGGGATCACATTAGAAGATCCTAGATAGTAAGTGGGGAGTAATATGGAACACCATCAATATCATTAAAGAATAAAAAGCTAGTTTTAGAGAGTGGTGGAACCTATGAGAGTCTGGCACTTCAGCACCCTCAGGCCTGGAAGTGAATTCATGCCTGTGGCTCAATTTTCATCCAAATAATAGACAAGTCTATAGGGGGAACAATAACCCAGGAAGGTATATGCTCCTTACATCAATGAACCAGTGAGATTAAGTGGTCAGCATCAGAAGGAAGGATGGAAGGAGGGTCAGGCAAAGAGGCGAAATGGCAGGTAGGAAGTGGGTAAGTGATGTTAACGTTGTGGGGACTGCAATCAAAGACATGGAACAAAATGTGTAGGAATTTTTTTTATTGGAAAACTGATTTGCTCTGTAAACCTTCACCCAATTCAACAAAAAGTTAATTATCATTTTATAGAGGCTCCCCCCACCCTCTGGCAAAATAGAAATTCAGGTAGAAAAGTGGGGCCAACAAAATTCAGTTGAATATCTAGTGTTTACTATTTGCTAAGATACCTGCTAGATGGTTGATCGCTTTCCTCTGACCCCAACAGGCACCCACCAATGAGAAAACGGGGACATGGGACTATTAGGTCATTTCCCAAAGTCACACAGCTGAGAAGTGGTCATTATAGGATTGGAACCTAAACCTGCCACACATCGAAGTTCACAGTCTTCCACAGATTCTCAAGGCCCCTCCGCAGTCCAAGAACTAGGGACCTTACTGTGGGCTGATGCCACTATACTTACGAGCTTAAAGTGCTTACCAAAGCTTATGGTTCACTTTACACTAGGACATGAAAACAAAGAAGAATGTCTCTTAGAACACTTACTCAAGATGGGTCACAGAACACCACCTGGAGTATCTAGAAGCCATGCTTTAGTATCCACAGCACACTGCCAACTTGCAACTTCTCAGTAAGTGCTAGAGAAAAGTCACCAAATACTTGCTCTGGTTTTTGAAGGCTCATATTGAGGTGAGCATAAACCTCACCTGGAGCTTTAGCACGCCCCACCCACCACTCCTTTTACCTCCTTGAACTCCTTCACAGTCTTGAAGTAGAGCCTCTGTTTTTCTAACAATTCCAAGTACTGGTCATTCAACTGGTCTCTTCTCATTTTGTTCTCTTGCTTCTTCTTTTCCATCTATTGAAACATTTGGAGAAACAGTGGTGAAAAGGCATGTTTTGACCACAGGCATGTTTTCACAACAAGAGTGCTTTGAGGGGATCAAGGAAAACATATGACTGCAAAAGACAGGGGGCCACAAACTTCTTTGTCCTTTGAGTTACACAGTCTGTAAAGTTAAGGTAAGAGTCTCTGAGTGGTGAAAATGGTGCTCAACTGCTATTCAATATGTCGGCAGTTTGAATCCATCCAGAAGCACTGTGTAAGAAAGGCCTGGTGATCGCCTTTAGATGGAAGATTCACACTTACTCTTTTACTGATCCCCAATGCTATTCTACAATGTGTACACGTGGAGCCTGCCTGTTCTGGGAAATCCATGCTCTGAAAGGATACCGACTGTCCAGTCACACTTACTGAGAGAACCCAGCACAGCACTGATACAAGAGGGCTACGCCTTTAAAAAAAATAAACGTGTCCATTCAAATAAGTGCAAAGCAGACACACACTTATCCCAGTCCCATGCCACTCAAGAGTCAATCCTCTCTGTAGTCCTCTTTGAGATCTGCTCTCCAAGTCCACTGAATGCATTCACTCACACAACAAACACTGGTTCAGACAGTATGTCACCCAATGGAGATGGAGATGCAGCCCCAAGACAAAGCCCTCTCTGTCCTGGGGTTCCTGGTCATCTACCCTGAAGGAGGAAAGACGGGAACACAGCCACAGCTTCCTTCACTGGTGGCACTAAGGTGCCAACGCATGACCTCTAGGGGAGGAGGGCAGGTCAGGCCCAGATCCTGCACCAGCTCTGCCTTTTTTTCTGCCAAAGGCCTGAAAACTCCACTGGATTCTTAGTGTTCTTGACTGTGAGCAGTGGCAGGAGTGCAGAGAGCCCACACCAGGCTGAGATCCGGGATGTCACAGACTCTGTCAGCCAGGCTCTCTGTCCTCCACCCATCATCACAACCGAGCTTCATTCACTTTCTAGGCAAGACAGCTGTCCTGCAAAAGGCAAGTGCGAACGTATGTCTGTCATGTCTCTGGCTGGTTTGTCTGAGAAAAATCACATTTGTCACTAGTGACAGACAGTTTGAGTAGGATGGAACTAAAAGACACTTGGAAGTAGTAGTTAGGATTCGTGTGGGCAGTTGTAACAGAAAACTGCAGCTGTGTGTTGGTTCTCCAAAGATTCAGTAAGTCTACTTTCTAGACAAAATGGGTCCCCTGGGCTAAGTCACTAAGTGAGGGACATCACCAGCCTGCCCAGACTGAGTGAGTCTCTGGGGCTTCCGCACCCTCTTCAGCTCTGCTCTTCTCCTGACTTCTCGGGCTCAGATGCCACTAACTTTAGTAGAACTCAGGCCAGAGATTATTTGCCTTTTGTATGCTGTTATTATTAGGTGCTACGGAGTCCATTTTTGACTCGTAGTGACCCCATGTGACAGTATAATTGCCTTTCTACAAATTTTGTTTTTGTAAGCATATACAGCAAAAATATACGTCATTTTAACAACGTTTACAGGCACAACTCTATCTCATTTTTCATAGGGGCTCCTAAAAACGAAAATGCTACTGAAATCCTAAGGAATAAATCTCCAACAGTAGAGCACGACAAACCAAACATTCAGAGAAGTGATTCTGGGCAAGAAAGGGAGCCTGCTGGTGAGAGTCAGTTTCCTCGTCTGTAAAATGGGAGTATAGTACTCACAGACGTTCAGTACAAGACAACAGGTTAAACAAGAAGCAACAATACCACCAGGTGTCAACAACTCATGGAGCAGGCCCTGCCCACTGCCAAGTCAGACTCATGGCATCTTCAGGATTGAGGCCACATTCCCAGAACCACTAAAAGAGGCTACGCTCTTCCTGGGAGTTTCTTCATCACTCGTGTGAAGTATGGGCTGCGTCACAAAAGCAGTATTCTCTTTTAAAAAAAGCTAATTTCAAATTTTGGACAATGAAAAAGAAGTCAGCTGACCTTCATTCTACTTTGCTTAATGCCTTCCACGATCTGTTCCATCTGACGTAAAAACTGGTCACGAGCAGCAGAGGAGGCCATAGCTCTGAAAGAAAAGTCAGTGGAGGTGAAACCTGGACACAGGATTCAGGAGTGGGGTGGCAGGTTGGTGGACGGTGGGTGGTAAGAAGTCACTCTTACACACTGTGCCCCAAGAAGCAACCAGGCCTTTGAAGGCATACTGGACCCAAGGACCCACTGGGAACAGAGACACTTATAGGATGCTAAACATCAGAGGGATGATGAAAATTAGCCTGGTCTTATTTGAATATTAACCTCTCCCCCCACCCCTTTTTTTTTAAATTTTCATTTTACTTAACATTTTCTTAAAAAGAAAAAAAAAATAGAATGCTAGCTAAGTACAATGAAAATAAGGGGGGAGCGGGCTACTGGTAGCATATCGGGTTATGCGTTGGGTGGCTAACCACAAGATTAGTAGTTTGAATCCATCCGTTGCTGCACAGGAGAAAGATGAGGGTTTCTGCTCCCGTAAAGATTTACAGCTTTGGAAACCCTATACAAGGTCGCTGTAAGTCAGAATTGATTCGATGGCACACAACAACAAACTACTTTCTTACTGTACAATAAAATGTGACGAAACTATTTTTTCACTTTGAATTATGACAGGTAATGCTTTAGAAATGAATTCCATTTTTATAGTTATCTGAGTATTTGGAAAAACTATTCAAGATCAGATCAGTACATGTTTCTGAGAGTTCTTAAAACTGGGGCAAACAACAGAGAGGTCTATACGGTGTTAATGAGCCATATGAGAAGAAGAGGGCAGCATGTGCCCAAGGACAGAGCTCAGGAGGCAGGAAGGGATAGGAAGGAAGGAACAATGAGGCAAGAAACACAGGGAGGAAGTGGGATAAATGATGTTACATTGTGGGGACTGCAATCAATGCCATGAAACAAAATGTGTATGGACTGTTGAATGGAAAACAGATTTACTCTGTAAACCTTCACCCAATTCCCAATTAGAAGCTGACAAAAACAAAAATAGCCCAGGACTGGGAAATCCTAGTCATTGTTTCTAGGAGAAGCAGTTATTAAACACCTGGATTTCCGGCTGCCTTAAGACATTCCACTTCACCCCAACTTTGCAGAAGTATCTGTATCAGCAGGATCAGAGAACACACATAAGAAATTGTGTGTGACTGAACGCAGAACTCTTCACAACAAATCTCAAACTGCACTCTCCCCGTGACCAGGAAATGAGGATTAGGGCACCACTTTTAGAAATTTTACATGATGGTTAAGTCACTAATTAATTTGAACCTTATCAGAGAGCTGTATCAGTTCTTTTTAATTAATAAAGCAGCTGAAAATCAGAGACTGTAACCCATTAAGATCTCAGACAGCTTAACTGCGGGCAACCTGCTTGGTGAGAAAGGAAGCCAACTATACAGAGCACAACCCTAAGGCTGTCCTGGAAACAGGCAGGCCAAAAGCTGTAGGATTTAGGTACAGGATGGCCATGTCATTCTATCTGGGGTGAGGATGGAGGAGCAGATCTCTTATCCAAACAAACTAGCTTAGTGAATGTTCATGAATTTAAAAACAATACTTACCACAAGGTTTAAAAATTTTTTAAAACATAGCACATAGATTTTTATTATCTAGAATTTAAATCTCTGTATGCTAATAAGCACTGGACCATACGGTTGGTTTGAACCACAAGGTCAGTCAGTACTTCAAACTCACTAGTTGCTCCTTGGAAACCCTATACAGGAACTCTATGAGTCGGAACTGACTCAACAGCACTCTATGAGTCGGAACTGACTCAACAACAACAACAACAACTGCATGCTAAACAGGGAGTGCGGTAGCTTCATATGGTAAGCACTGGGCTGTAAATCACAAGGTCCACAGTTTTGAGCTCATCAGTTACTCTGTGGAAGAAAGATGAGGCTTTCTGCTCCTGCAAAGATTTTAAAAAGCCTCTGAAACCCTATACAGAGTTTACAGGGTTAACTTAACAACACATGGTATTAATCTGATCTTACCAAGGCAAAACTAACATACAAAGAGGTTACAGTGTAGCTGTTGTTGTTGTTAAGTGCCACTGAGTCAGTTCCAACTCATAACAACTTTATATACAGTTTCTGAGATTGTAAATCGTGGGAGCAAAAAAATCATCATTGTTTTCTCAGAGTGGCTGGTGGGCTTGAACCGCCAACCTTGTGGTTAGCAGTCCTGTGCTTATCCTACAGAGCCACTGCATTCCCATCACATTAGCTTGTTGTTATGTATTGTTGAGTCGTTTCCAACTCATAGTGAAGACCAATTGTGGGTTTGAACCACCAACCTTGCACATTTCAGTTAGCATTCCAGGGCTTATTCTATAGTGCCACACCAGCACAATCAAATTATCTGAAAACTATTTTTTTATCTAAGATCTTTTGTGGTGTTTTTAAAATTCACTCTAAATCATCACATTTTTGCAGGAGTTCAAAGGCCAAGTAAACCAAGATACATTTGTACCTGGCAAGGGGGCTGAAGTGAGGCTCACAGACCCAGGCTAGTATCTTTCTCACCCACCACTGCAGTATGAATGGGAGCTGAATACTAAGCACAGGGCATCCACGGCACTGACAGGGGAGAACTGACAGTACTTACTGTGAGAAGTTTTCATGAACTGAGTTCAGCAGGCTAATCTGGGTAAGTAAAGAAAAGACAAACACTATAAGGAAAAGGGTGAGAGATTCCTACACCACCTTAAGCAATGAAAGGTTACCTTATGTCTAGATCTTTCTTATGGAAGGAAATCACCTTGCATCTGTACATGAAAGTAACATGGGGGTGGGGGGGAGAGCATCATGTTCTTAGTCCCACAGTCTTCCCTAGTAAGCTACCCTCTGCTCACAGAAAACTCTTCTTCCTACAACCCACTGGCACTGGAGTGTAGGAGGACGGCTCTTCAAAAAGACCAAATCCCACAGGAGAAGATGCCAAGCTAACACCAGGGCTCTTTGAGCAAGCTGCCACCACAGTCCCCGTCCATCTTGCCCAAATACTGCCCTGTAAGAGGGATTTCAAAGAGTCTGTGGAAAAATGGAATTCAAAGATAATGGAATTTTCCCATGAACCTGCTGAAGCCCTCTTGTATTTTCAGGGTCTGGCTTTAGTGGGGAGTCGGTCCGGGGCAGAGTGAAAACACTATTCCTTCTCACCAATGCAACCAGCTGCTGGGCTGCTCAGATGCCTCCTGGGAAATGTGTCCCTGCAGGCCCCTGATCTCTACTGGCCAGTAAGACAAGCCAGGGCAGGGCTCTGAGTCCAGAAACCTACAGCCTCCTTCAAGCCATGTCACAAACTCAATTTGTCATCTCAGGACAAACGATTTATCCTATTTGGTCTCAGGTTCAAAACCTGTAGCATGGGAATCATGTTCTCGTCCTCACTACTCCACAGAGGTGTTTCCAAGCTAAAGTATCACAGGCATAAATGCATCTGAAATAAAGAACTTAATCAAACAAGTTCTGTGTTAACATGGCTTAGAACTGAAAAGTCCAACAGCTCTCATCACCCAGAACACTCCGAGATTTTTAAAGAATGTTACAACTTTAAACATTGCTGATATAGAGTTTAAAGTCCTCTGAAACTGATGAGATTTCTTCTCATCAGTTAAGCCCTCCCAAGACCAGGGACTAGGGCTTATCTATCTTCTAGGTTTGACCTAAATCCCATAAGTCACACTCATCTATTAAACACTGGGTGGTACAGTTAATGAGCTTGCCTGCTAACCAAAAGAGTAGAGGTTTGAATCTATCAAGAAAATAAAATCTGTGGCAATTTACTTCAGGAAAAAACAGCCATAAAAAACCCTATTCTGATGTGAAACTGATGATGTGCCCTGTAAACTTTCACTCAATGCAAAATAAAAACATTTAATTAAAAACAAACAAACAAACAAACAAAAAAAAACCCTATTCTGACCAACACTGGGTGTCCATGAGACAGAATTGACTGGATGGCAACTGGCATTTAAGTATTTATCAAATGTCTAATATGTTCCAGCACTGTATTAAGACACTGAATACAGAGAAAACTCAACTCTTCCTTAAGAACCAAAGCCAAGAACTGGGGCATCTTGTCAGCAGCGGATTAAACAGCAATGGGACCTTGTTGCCTTTCGGGGGTTGCATTACTGTGCCCTCACAATGAATGTAAAGGTTCTATACTTCCGGATGGAAAACCAAACCAAAACAACAAAAGCACTCCCAGTGGCCCTATAGGACAGAACAGAACTGCTCCAGAGGGTCTTCTTAGGCTAGAAATCTATTTGGGAACAATGAGTCTCATCATTTTCTTGTAGAGCAGTTGCCAACCTTGTGGTTAGTAGCCCAACAACTAACCCACTGCACCATGGTTTCTCCTTAAGAAATATCCTCTAATAACAAATCCCCCATCTGGTGCTATGGGTTAATGTGTTGGATTGTAAGGTCGGTTTGAACCACAGGATCAGCGATTCAACTTTACCAGCCACTCCTCTGAAAACCTATACAGGGTTGCTGTAAGTTAGAACCGACTCAAAGGCACTTAACTGCAGCAATAACAACTAGACCACTGCCATCAAGTATATTCCAGCTCATACTGACTACATCTGTTATGGAAGCAGATGGTCACAGCTTCCTCTCAGAGTGGCTGCTGGGACTAAAATAATGGCCTTCTGGCTAGCACTGTGCCAGCAGGGGAGATTTTCTCTTATTTGACTGCCAACAGACAATGAAGGTGATAATAATTACAGTTTCTTCAATGTGGGTTCAGGTGTAACATATACTTACATTATTATTCTAACTCGAATGGTAATTAATGTAGCCCGCAGGGTGAGGATAAAACGAAAAATTCCCCTGTCAACCTGGACCTAAGGAGGTGAGTAAGAACTACTATGCACTAAGGATCTACCAGGTGCATGGACCTTAGAGCCATCTCCTCATTCTGTCTTTACCATCATTACATGAACGGAGCAGGAATCACCCTGATTTTACAGGTGAGGACAATGAGGCTAAACTGAGACACAAATCTGTCCAAATCTAAAGGTCATGCTTTCTCCACTGTACTGGTTTGCCACAGTCAGAATTTTTTATTATTTTTTTAAACATAGCTATACAACTGTCTCCAGTCACTTTAGGGGAGCCCTAAATCATGAACAGATTTAACTCCCATGAGAGAATCACAGAGCAGTAGGAGGGGTAGGGGAGCGGTGTCAGAGCCCACGTTAACTCCTTTGAATTTTATATTCCTTTTGTCCATGCTTGTGCCACCACTGATGAAACAGGTAATTCCCTACATGAAGTATGACCAGTCCCCCATCCCCATTTCATTTGACTGGTTCCTTCCTTTAAAACTCACACTAGTTTCACTGCTTCCGGGACCATCCCCAAAAGGCTTCCATTATTTTTACTTTTACCGTGGCCTTTCTCACACGGCACCATAAAGGCTTACTTATTACCAGGCTTCACTTCACCCCATACAGGGCGAGCTCCCTAGAAATGGGCACTTTCTGACCAAACATGTAATAATAGGTGTTCCTTCCATCTAAACCGGATGTATCCCAGACATCAAGTTCACTTGGACTTCCCAAGGAGCACAACACATCTAATTAAATGATTTTTAGTTAATAAATGTTATTACCTCTTTTTCCAAATACACCTTTTTATCGTCAAGGGTATTATATAAAGTGAAGAACTGCTTGGTTTCTTTGTGGACTGCTGAAACTGTAAATGCAAAGGAATCAATACATGAATAAAGAAATAACCCAAGTCTCCCGCCACACCCCCAGGACTCGAACCCACTGTCTACAAGATGACTTTGATTTACAGCAACCCATAGGAGAGAATAGAACTGTGCCATAGGGTTTTCATGACTGTACATCTTTACAGAAGGAGATAGTCACATCTTCCTCCTGCAGAGTGGCTGGTGGGTTTGAATGAACAACTCTAACCACTCGAACCACTGTGCCACTTAAGACCTATAAACAGTCCCTCAAAGATATCTGCTAGCTACATCATCTGCCTATATTCATATAGCAGAATACATGCCTAATAGATACGAATTCTCTTTCTATCCCTGTGCACACAACTAAGCACGGAAGGAAGATCTTCCCTATCATATCAAGGTATATTGAAATTCATTTATGAAGGCTTTTTGCCTTGGTTCTTTGGAAGAAACACCTGGAGAGATTTCTCCCTTAGCCCTGCTTTTCTACCACAGAGGGTTTGTTACATTTTCTGGCTAAACTGCAAACCATTTGGTTTGATATTTTTTGTCTGGCTCTGGCTGTAGCCTGCCCTGTGATTGGTGTGCACTGTGCAGGGATTTGTCAATACACTTAGCAAACTAAGTGATTATGGATTATGCAAATAAGGTGACTACAGCCTTCTATGACATTAACAAGGCCAGATGCAATCTACAGGTTTAGGCTTATCTTGAGAGATAATACATTAAACAAGCAAGCAGAGCTCGCAGGGACCTACTACCACCAGGAAAGAAAAGCTGGGAGTGGAGTGTGTCCTTTAGACCTGGAGTCCCGGCACCATGAAGTTCCTAGATCCAGGGGAAGACTGATGCCGACACACATGGAGATCACCAAGGACGGCTGGGCCTACAGATGCTGAATGGGGACAAGGATCTTTTTCCAGAGTTGGTGCACTGAATTCTGGCTTCTACCTTCCCAAGTTGTTAGAGAATACACTTCTGTTGTGAAAGCCATTCACTTGTGGTATTTGTTATAGTAGTACTACAGAACTTGAGACAGTAACTACACAGAGCAAATGTTTCAGCAGAGTTTCCACACTAAGACAGAATAGGAAGAAAGGCCTGGTCCCGGCAATCTATTCCTAATTATTAGTTAATGAAAACCCAATGGATCATGATAGAATACTATCTTAAACTGTGCTGAGAGATGGGCACCTAGGTTGGCTGCAACAATGGACTCCAGTACATCCCATGATTATGAAGATGGCACAGGACTGGGGAATGTTTCATTGCCATGAGTCTGCTCACTTGACAACAACTAACAACAACACAGACCCTGATGCTAAGTGGTTACTAGACACTGGCGGCGCATGATACAGTGAAGCCTGGCTTCTCACTTCACCCTTGCTCCTGGTCCACAGGGTCTGGAGCACCAGGGTGGAGAGGAGAAGCAGCAGCGCAAAGACAGAGAACAGAAAGACTGTGAGCACTTTTGGTTTTCTCTGACAACTGCCGTTAACACTTATACCTGGTTCTTTAAATCCATCAGTTAACTTTTAACTTTATTAACCAGTAATAATTATGTCACCCTCATACTGTGAAGCTCAACTACGGGATGGGGCTATTTGCTGTACATATGTAATAAATAGATGCTAGTAATCTAAGTTTTATCATCATGTAACAGTTTCAAAATGTCCCCAAAGTGTCCAACTTGTATGTAAATCACCAAAAGCTTTAGAACCATGAATGGCACTTAATCTTAGCTTAAAAACAAAGGCACCTGGAAAGCTTTTAAATTTTTCATGAGCAATTCAATGAGAATTCCTAGAGGTGGAACTCAGGTTATACCAAGTAGTCAAAGTAGAAAACCACTGCCATCAATACCCTGGCCAACTTTTAGCTTACCTGCCCAGGAATGGGTCTGCTATCCTTACCCCATTTAGGTCAAGGACTAGGTGAGGGTTGTGGATATTCCATAATTAAAACAAAGGCAAAATGCGATGCAGGTATTTTGGTGCAACTGGTTGGATATATTTTTGGTATTTAACAAGTCCTCATCAAAGGGACTTTTATATCTGTGAGATTCACTCTGTGAAGCATAATGAAGTAAGGTATTATAGCTGAAGCTTTAAAGCAAGTAGGGCTAGAAAATTAAGGGGAAAAATTTAAGTTCAGATAGAAACAATTTTCTGCTAAGAAACGGTCATTGTTACCTGTATCTGATATCTAATAAGATATGAGGACCATGTTAAATGTCAGGATGATGGAGGAAGACACGTGAAGGAGCAAAATTCTGGATCTTCAAATAAGGACGGTGCTTAAGCTTGAACCAGGAAGGATGACTGAGAGGCCAATCCTTCAGGGCTAAGTCTGAGTTAGTTGGATTTTGAAAGGAGAGTTGGTGTGTGACACCTGGGAAGTACAAGGTGATGGCACTCTGGACGGGGGCCAGGGTGCAGATGCACAAGAGGGGCAGCACCGAGTGGAGGTGGGGCAAGGTGGATGTTTACCCGAGGCCTGCCTACACAGGATTTTGTTAAAAATATTTAAGCTTCCAAGATTGTCCAAGAAGCTATGGGGAGACACTGGATATTAAAAAGACTGCTGTGTGGTGGTGTAACTGCAAGATCGGTAGTTCAAACCCACCAGCCGCTCCATGGGAGAAAGATGAGGCTTTCTGCGCCTCTAATGATTTACAGCCTTGGAACCCTATTTAGAGTTGCTGTGAGTTAGAATTGACTTGATGGCAGTGAGTTTGGTTTATGGTTTACTGTATATTATGAGTAATGTTGTTGTTGCTGTTAAGTGCTGTCGAGTCTGTTCCGACACATAGTGAGTGACCCTGCAAATCTTTACGGGAGCAGAAAGCCCCATCTTTCTCCCGCGGAACAGTTGGTAGTTTCGAGCTGCTGACCTTAAGGTTTGCAGCCTGATTTATAATCACTACGCTACCAGAATACAAGCGTATAAGATGATCAAATTTATGTTGGCAGTATATCTCTGAGATAAGAGTATAGAGAAGGAATGAGACCCTGGGCAGAGTTGAGCAAGTGACAGCAACAGTGCAGAAAAGAGATTTGAAAGCTTTAAGAAAGAGAACTGGGAGAGTAAGTGTGAGTCAGAGATGACCATGAAGTATCCAGCTTGGCTTAATAATGATATCACAAATGAGAGGAGAATGGTAAGCAGCACAAACTTGGGGAAGGCAAGCTGGATTTAGTCTTATACCTGCTGATTTGGAGGAGTTCAGGGGACATGCAAGAGTGGTGATTTGTTCTTGCCTGAAGGCCCATGACAAGTCATATACAGAAGATAACTGCACTAGATCTTGAAGGATCCAACCAAGGAGAGGTATCCCAGGACACAGGATGGGTGAAGGCCTCAGATGTGAAAGTGCTCAGCATGCCTTGAGGCAGTGCACAGACTCGGGAGGCTAGAGTGAGGGCTGGAAGAGCTCAGGAAGGGGGCCTTGCCTCGCTGAAGAGGGGAGATCTAAGGCACTGTAAGGAGAGAGGTTTCCTCTTGGGCCCTGAGTTGCTCCTAGAGATTTGTCAGCAGGGAGAGCAGCAGCACAAGAAGATGTGTGGCTGAGGGTTCGGAGGAGGGACTGCAGGCTAGCTCATGGATACTGAGCTGGGATGTGCTGAAAGCACAGATACTGGCAGGAGCAGTCTGATACTGAACAGGACAGGGAAGAGTTCTGAGGCCCGTTCTGAGCCTGATGAGATCTGCTCACTGACGTCAAACAGAGGAGACTCACTCCTGGATCACTCAGGGACTCCCAGGCAGCTAAAGGCTGGGTCATACCAGGAAAAGCCTCTCTTCTCCTGGGCCACATCAGGAAAACAGAGCAACGATAAGGGAGGTACAGTATAGAGATGCTTCATGTAAAGTTGGAAAGAGGACTGGCCGACCACGAGAAGTTCTGGTTCAAAATGTTTCAAAATGTTATTTTCTAAGAGTGCCCTGCAGTGCTGCTGCCAGGATTCTGGGCCACCCACCAGTGGGTACGGCTCTGAGGAACGAAGCCTTTCCCAGTGGTGGCATTCACAGACTGAACAGTGATGCAGCTACCACCTGTCATTCCCATGGACAAAGCCCCTTGCTGCCTCCGGTCCCTCGCAGGGCCAGCCCCAAGAGCTTGTTAGTGGTGAATGCACCTACTTTGGCCGTAGAGTTCAATGAATCTCTTCTGATACTGTATTAGCTCTGCTCGGCTGGGCACTTCATCAATCTTGCGGTGCAAAATTGCTATTTCTCGATTTCGTCGAGCCTAAATGCGGACACAGGAGCAATAGACAGCACAGTGTGGTTAAAGGCCTTACAAAGCAAGCCCTAATATGGCCCCGGCCCACCTGAGCCCAAGCATCCCTCCAGTGTGCAAGCTTGGTATCCCACCCTCCCAGGTTTTGATGGGCACATAGGAAGAGCCATGGCTGTGAACTAGAATCATGGAGAGCATCAAATTTGTGGGAAAGGAAAGGAGATTCTGAATTGTGACAATGAAGGGCTTAGGAGGACAGAGCCCCCAGCCAGCCTATCATACCACGAAGGACACGTGATTGATTATACCACATCCAGATGGGGGCACCAGGAAATAAAGAAATGTTCTCAGATGTCACTCTGCACCACCATGTAAACTCTAAATCCCTTAGACTAATTGAAAAGTCCCTACAGTTTACTTCTAAGATACCTTCCCAACATTACCTCCCTTCCACAGACTGGGGTCTTGGTCCAATTGCCCCACTGACTGCACTGGTTGACACTGCTGCTCCGTGTGGGGTGGAGCAGTCCTGGGCTCTGAGGATACATCCGCTGCCTTCCCCAGCAGGAGGCAGAAGTCCTTAGCCCATATACTGCCTCCAGACCCACAGCTGGTCTCAGAACCCGGTGGGCCTTCTGAGCTGTCTTTCTTCTATCCCCATGTCCTCTCAATCTCCCTGCTCCATTCAGCGGCATGTGTAGCAGATAATTTGATCTCTAACTCACCATCAGCTCCTGCAACCAAGGCCAAAATAGGGTCTCTGGCTCCCGGGGTTAGGAGAGATGCATTTTTTCCTGTTGGCCAGGGCTATCTGCCCTACAGGAACTGATTCTGAGTATTTTTCAGAAACCTTTACACATAAGGATCTACTCCTTTGACAGCATTTAAATATGCTCAAGTCCTTCCCAAAACAACCCTCCCTTAAATCTCATTGCCCGTCTGCTACCACCTCTTTTCCTCCCATGAGCTGTGTCCACTGGGGCTCCTGTCCTTCCCCACCAGTCATCTCCCAGCTGACAGAAATCAGGCTTCTCCCCATAACCCCTCGGAAGCAGTTCCTACCAGTTTCCAAAGACCTTTTCTGGGAAACAGAAAAATTCTCAGCTTCTGGCTTCCTTAATCTTTCACCATTCTCTCAAAAGTCCCTGGGTGGTGCAAAGGGTTAACTGCTCTCATGAGCCAAGTACTGGCAAAGTAAGGTGTTTAAAATCTTATTTTAATTCTAAGTTAGCTTAAGACCTAAAAAAGAAAAGAAACCCTTACGTCTCCCATATTTGATGACATTCTTACCCCCACACCATCCCAGTGTTATTAAGACAGTTAAAGAAGCCCAGTAGGCACTTATTATTAGACAAAACTACTTGAAAAGAACACTGGAACTTGTAACCTAGCTCTTGTATTTATTAAAACATGACTTTTGGCAAGAACTTCACCCATTAGAGTCAATATCTTCAAACAAAAAACAAGCTACTAACAACTCCCCTCACGTGGCGGAGGACCTGACTGAGATGACTGTAACAGGTCAATGAAGGGTACTTGTTATTATCTATAGGTGAAATCAGCAAATGAAAGACTAGTCAACAGAAGCCTATCCCAAGTCTCTCTTGCTCTCAGATACTGAAACTTTCTAGATCCACCATAGGACAGTCATACTTACCTTAAGCGCATTTCTGTATTTTCCCCACTTCTTGGTTCTTGTTTTTTTTACTCACCTGTAGTAAACGGATTTTGTAAAGTTTCTCTTTCTCCATACTATATCGCCTGTCAAGATCTTCCTAAAAATTGGAAAAGGCCAGAGTTATCCAGGAATAGGACACTTTCATTGTTGTTGTTATGTGCTATGGAGTCGGTTCCAACTCAAAGCGACCCTGCACAGAGTTTCCGAGGCTGTAAATCTTTATGGGAGCAGAAAGCCTCATCTTTCTCCTGCGGAGCAGCTGGTAGTTTCAAATTTCTGACCGTGAGATTAGCAGCCCGATTCGTAACCACTACGCTACCAGAGCTCCTTATACTTTCATTCTTAAGTCTTTCAAAATTGAATATAGTTTTATCCCATCCCTCCCAATCTTGAGCACCCAAATTTCTTTTCTCAAATGACTGAGTTTAGGGTCTGGATCCTAAGTCATATAAACCACTGACACCCTTTTACATCACTTTATAACAACTCTTCCTTCTGGGGTCCAAGATAAATGGAATGTTCTCAAGTTACCTCCACACCTTTCCTCCCCCACAAACTATAACAACAAGGAGAAAAATCATGAGTTACAGACTTTGCTGTGTATGTCTCAATGTCTGGAGGTATTGCTCCGCTTACTTCCTAGGAGATTTAGTAAAAAGTATTGCTACAAAATCACAGAAATCTTAACTAAACAAAAATATCAAAACTGTGAAGCACTGTTTCTCAACATACTCTCCATGTAGGCTTATACACTTCAATGTTTCTATACCTGAAGAATTCTGCATTCTTCGAATGTACCACATCAAAACAAGGGACTCAAATTGTGTTCCTTTGAAATGGACTATGAGTTTGGGGGAAAAAAGAAGTATGATGGGGCAAGATCAGAGCTGTAGGGCAGATGGGGTAAAATATTCTTATAAGACAGTTCTTGCTACCTTGAAAAATAAGCAAGCAGTGTGATGGAGAAAAAAATCCTAAGCACAACTTTCCTGGCCTTTCTCACCAATGCAACTTTTTATTTTCTTACAATCTCATCCTAATTAAGTCCTGGTGTTGACACTGTAAGATAAGCACTGGACCACAAGATCGGTTTGAACTGCAAGGTTCAAGCTCACCAGCCACTCCTCGGAAACCCTATACAGGGTCACTAAGAGTCGGAACTGACTCAACAGCTCTTACCAACAACAATGGTGAGTGGTGGTGGTGGTATTGGTTCCAACTCATAGTGATCCTATGTAGGATTTCCGAGGTGGTAAATCTTTAAGGGAGCAGAACGCCTCATCTTTCTCCCGCGGAACCGCTGGTAGTTTCGAACTGCTGTCCTTAAGGTTAGCAGCTTAACTCATGACCACTATGCTACCAGAGCTCCTTAACAACAACATTGTTGTTAAGTACTGTGGAATCGGTTTTGACTCAAAGTGACCCTGCACAGAGTTTCTAAGGCTGTAAATCTTTATGGGAGCAGAACGCCTCATCTTTCTCCTGCGGAACCGCTGGTAGTTTCAAACTGCTGACCTTGAGGTTGGCAGCCTGACAAGTAACTACTACGCTACCAGAGCTCCTTAACAAGAACAATAAGCCCCCATAATTGCCCTTCTGTATCCTTGGAGGGACCAGAAATAAACAGTTGCTGTAACCGTCTCTGTCTTGAACTTAACTGATGCAGCAATCTCTTCAGAAGTTACTATTTTGATTGGACCTTTTTTTGGAGGCACCCAAATGACACTAGGACAAGTGTATTACTGAGAGAACTTGACTGTAGTCATCCACTGACCTGAGACATATTTAAATATGTTCTGTTCGGAATCAATCTGTAAATGTATGAACTGGAATCCTAGAAGTAATACTTTTTGACTTATCCTCTCTTGTATTTAGAGCTATGCTGTCCAATATGATAGCTACTAGCCATAATGGCTATTTAGATTTACAGTAACTCAAGTGCAAAAAGGAGTTGAGCTCTGGTAGCGTAGTGGTTATGAATCGGGCTGCTAACCTGAAGGTCGGCAGTTCGAAACTACCAGCAGTTCTAGCAGGAGAAAGATGAAGCATTCTGTTCCCATAAAGATTTACAGCCTCAGAAACCTTGTGCAGGGTCACTACGAGTCAGAACCGACTGCATGGTACTTAACAACAACAACAAAATGCAAAAAACCCCCATCAATTTATAGTTACATCAGTCATAGTTTAAGTGCTCAGCAGTCATGTGGTAACTATGTAGCTGAAACAGAAATACAAAGAATGTTCTTTTGTTCAACACTTATTTAAAGAACAGAGAGACACTTCGTGGTTGAGTGAGAGATCTGGGCTTGATTCCTGGCTGATGGACTTCGGATCCAGCCACCACTTGTGTATTAGTGGAGGCTTTTGTGTTACTATGCTGCTGAATAGCAGAGTTCCGTGAGAGTGCTAGATTCAGCAGTTTCCAGACTAAGACATACTAGGAGATGCCTTAGTATGGACATACTTCAAAAACATCAGGCAATGAAACCCTATGGATCTAATCCCTTTGTGCAGAGGGTTACCATGAGTCAGTGGCCAAGTCAAAGGTAACTAAAAACAGCTCTTGTTTTGCAGCCTCTGCTAGTGTATGCACACAGGGGCACACACATTGCTGCAGACACATTCACTGGGTTAGACCTAACGCTCATTCATTCTTCTAGGAGCTTACCAAGACACAAAGGGAATAGAAACCTGTTCAGGAGGCAAAAGCTGATGGGCATTGCTGCTTCTCTTCTCATCCTTTTCTTTTTCATGAAAGTTTGTTAAGAGTGCAAATGCTGTAGAATATGAAATCTAAAAGCTTTTTGCCTGTGAATGACTCCAGTCAGGCAGAGTTTAATTCCATCTTGTGTCTAAGTTTAAGGTTCAGATGTCAGTTTTTCTTGAGCACATCAATCACCTTTGACAGTGGGTTTCAGGCAGAGTCCTAGACTCACCCTTTAGTGGTGGCCTCAGAGACTGTAAGCTTTAATATATGCAGAAGGCCCCTCCCTGCTTTTCTTAGGCTGCCAGGAGCAGATGTGAGCAAGATGCAGGGCTACTGCTATCAGATCAGGTGTGGTTGTGGGAGGCGATGCCTTTGTTATCTGTTGTTTGTTGTTGTGAAATGTTACCTGTGCCCTATAAAAGCTCACTAAGGGGAGGTGGAACTCTGGAAACTCATCATGGCGCCTAAAGCTTCCCTCCCCTGTGTGATCTATGTTTGCCTTTGTCTTGTGTTTACTCCTGTTTAAGACTTAATAAAGAGTCTCTGTTATATATTTGAAGGTGGAGGTTTCTTCTCTCCCCTAGAAAAAGTGGGGACTGGGGACACTGGTTTACCTCAGAACACGGGCTAGCAAGCTAAGGCCTTTGAGCTAAGCCCTACAGCCCTCGGGCCAAATTTGCTTTCAGCCAATCTTTGCAATGAAAAGTTTTACTGAACACAGCAGGCTGGTTCATTTCCATACAGAAACAGCAGAGTTGGCTACCTGTGAAGGCCAACACAGCCAAACCTGTTTATTATCTTTGCTTTATTGTGCCCAAGAAAGAGAGATGTATTTCCTTAGGCACTCCCTTAAACCCCCTAAAAGTCTCTGGGCTGTGAGCAGATGTGGGGCCAATGTAGGTCTCACCCGTTCTCTTCCCAAACACTGTCCTGGAGAAAACCCCATCACAACAGTGGCCTTGTCCTTGGGGTGATCCTGCCTCCATCTTAGGGTCTTGGTGAGGCAGATCATGCCAACTCCCTCTGAAGGAGCCAGCAGATGAGGAGGTAGCAATGGAGAAAATTCAAGCAGGCAACTGGTATGAGGGAGTGTTCCTCTTACCCCAGGGAACAGCAACAGTCCAGAGAAAGGGCAGGTACCTACATTATGAGTCATGGCAGGACTCAGGTCACCATGCAGCTCTCCACCGGCCAGGGTCTGAAAGGAGCAAACAACAATAAACAGTGGGTGGGCCTTGGGAGTGGGATAGAAACAGAGGTCTCCTCGGAAGTGCAGCTAAGATTTTAGATTGCTCTCAACTGTCAACACTGCTGTTGAGTGCCGTCCAGTTGGTCTCAACTCACAGCAACTCCGTATAGGGTTTCCGAGAAGCAGCTGGTAAGCTTGAAATACCGACTCTGTGGTTCAGAGTGACCTTACAGTCGAGTGTTTATCCTACTAGAACCTCAAAAACCAAAACCATGCTATTAAGTCGGTCTTGACTAATAGTGACCCTGTGTGGGTTTGTAGGATCAGCACAGGACTGCAAGTCACAAGGTCGGCAGTTCAAACCCACCAGCTGCTCCTTGAGTAGGAACTCTATGAGTCGGAACCCACTCAATGGCATTTCACAATATCATATGATTTCTGAGGCACAAAGCCTCACCTTTCCCCTGTAGAACAGCTATAGAGTATTTGAACCGCTGACTTTGCAGTGAGCAGTCCAGTGCTGATCCCATAGCACCCCCACCCAGGGCTCCTTTAGTTACATGCTGGTGGTGGTGGTGACTGTGCATCACTGAGTCAGTTCCAACTCAAAGTGACCCTGTATAGAGTTTCCGAGGCAGTAAATCTTTACGGAAGCAGAAACCCTCAATTTTCTCCCGTAGAGTGACTGGTAGGTTCGAACTGGTGACCTTGTAATCCAGTTTGAATGTGACCTTGTAATCCAGTGTGTAATCCACTATGCTACCAAGACTCCTTTAGTTACATACTGTTGTTGTTAAGTGCCGTTAAGTTGGTTCTGACTCATAGCAACCCTGAATAGGGTTTCCTAGGAGCAGGTGATGGGTTTCAACTACCGACCATGTGGTTCGCAGTCCAGTGCTGATCCTATAGTGTCACACTAGGCAAGCTAAATGGCAATTGTGTGAGTATAAATAATAATTCCGCTAATAAGATGTGATTGCTAAGGGGACAGGGGTGATTTTCAACATCTGTGCTCTGTATGAGGGCACTTCAAAAAGTTGATGAATTGTCCACAAACTTTTATTGAAGCACCTCGTACAAACTCAAGAGGCGGACTCAACTGATGAGCCTGCAGGGTCTAAAGTTCTAGTGCAGGGCGTGAGAGGCCAGCGTCAGGGTAGGCCTGCATTTCATGGCAGGAGCCTGTACTCGCTCTGGCAGTGCTCACACAGCTGAAGGTAGCACCACCCAGGCCTTGGTGCCACAGTTGAAGGTAGCAGGGCAAAAGCCCAAGGGTACAGATGGTGCTGAGTGTCAGGCTGAGCACAGGGCTCTGGTATTGCTTGGCTTGGACAAGTCTCTTCCCCTTGTTGAGCCTCACTCAAGTTCTCTGGTTTACAGGGAGAGGGTCCAAGAGATCTATGGCCATGGCTAGCTCTCATGGTCTCCTTGAGACACAATAACCCTCTGAAGAGTGGGAGAGGATAAAACTGAAATGCAGGGATTCTTACACTCTTACTTGGTGAGAGGACAGACTATAATCCCCCATCCTTGGTTTTTAATCTAATGTTTAATGGAAAGTCCTACTAGGTCCTCAAAAGATCAAAGCTCTTGTTCAGAGAACCAGTTGATCAGACAGTGTCCTTACATCCTTACTACTGCATTTCTGCAGGTACACCAACACTATCTCTGCTTTTGTGTTCATTGCTACTGTTTAGAACTGGAGTATATCAATTGGCAGGGGTGGAAGGCGAAGAGTGGGTTAAGGAGAAAAAATTAGACGAGGTTGACAGGGGAACAGGGTTCAGATGGTTCCTGAAAACATCTCTCCCCTGAATGCAGGGAGCAGCCAGAGTTGTAGAATTTGGTCATTCTTGTCTGGGGTGGCTGCCATCCATACCCATTGTTGCCTTTCTTTCCCTTCAGAAGAAAAGAACACAGAGGGACGGCAGTCTAAAACCATCCCGGGGTAAAACCAGTTGGGAAAGGTGTATGTTAAGGACCAGGTCAGTCTTTTTAGTAACAGACTGTATGGCTAGTCTTTAGAACTCGTGCCACTATTTCGTCTTATAACAGCATCTGATGGCTATGAGGGGTAATTGGGGCTTTACCTTTCCATCTCCACCTGGCGCTCCTTCAGCTTTCAGGATTTCAATTTCTTGCTGCAGCCGTGTCATCTCCTCCTTTAAAGCCACATAAGTGTTAACACAACTCAAACAAGCTAGTAACTGGATGCCAATATCTAAATCCTTGAGTCCAAGAGTTTATGTGGACCCAAAACATCCATTAGTTACTAGGTGCGTTAACCCCCAACTTTCAGAATTTTTCCTCAGAAGGATACATCCAGCTGCATCTTGTTCAAAAGGGTCCTTTCTTTTTAAAGCAAGCAGTAATCTCTGAGAAATCAAGTGAGCAAGTAGTTTAGAGCTTGTTCCAATGGGCCTGGTCTGCTTCCTGTCCTCCAAGGCCTTAGGCTTCCCTACTATCCAGCTTACCCAGGGAACTGCCAGCCTGGAGTAAGCACTGCCTCGTTCACGCCTTCTCCTTCGTTTGCCATCCAGCCTTCTTTAAGTCAGGCCCAGTTTCCTTCTGTCTCCTGTTTCAGTTGTCTCTCCTCCCCCACAACTCACCAGCCCACTGTCTACCATAACCTACTGCTGGAACCCAGTTCCTAAAGAACTTGCAGGAGCCAAGAACCTTAGTCTTTTCACAAAGTCCATATGTCAACCAAATATGACTTATTTAAAAAACTTTATGCAGCTTTTATGTAGATTTGTTATTTGAAAACCACTGTAGTTTAGACTATGCACTCAAGTCTTTGGGTCTGGCACATACAGTTACTAATCTAACTCACTTTTGGTAACCGTGGACGGTGCTGACCATGACAGTGTTCTATATATGAGTGACATGGGACTGCTCGATTAATCTACTTTTTAATATTCAACAGGAATACAGGATGCCCCATCAGGACACAGAGGCAAACCTGAGATTTTACAAGAGTTCTGCTTTAATGTCTACCAGTAATCAACACTTACCCGACAATGTGCTTTGAACTCCTGCTCCTGACTTTTCAGATTTTCATTCATGGCCACAAGTGCTCTCAAGTTCTGCAGGATACTGAAGAGAAAAGGCCCAAAACATGGCATGCGGCAGGCTATTATGATATTATGGATCAAAGCAAAAACTGGGTCCCCAGATAAAAAATGATTCCCTTTTTAATTTTCTTTGTCTCCCCCAAGAGTATCTGATAGGACCCCCATAGAGGATAACTTCTCTGTAACTGACATTACTGTCCATTTATATATCCAAGTCCATCAGGCCACGTCCAAGACGAAAACACCAGTGAGTTCCAAATGAATTGGATATTTTGTTGTTGCCAGATGCCACTGAGTCGTTTCTGAGTCAAAGTGACCCTGTAGAGGGTTTCCAAGGAGCGACTCGTGTGTTTGGACTGCCAACCTTCTGGTTAGCAGTCCAGTGCTTACCCTACAACACCACACCAGAACAGAATATACTTGGTATCAACTACTCATTTGTACTCAGCACGTATCAAACTCTGTCTTTAACTTCAACTCTGAACAGGAAACAAGTTGCTTAATGCCATTTAAAAGCACTAATTTGATAATAAAATTGTCTAGTATCTGACAGTGCTTTGTTCCGTATCATGAAGAAAGGCTTCTGGTTAGTTTTAGAAGTAGTAGTTCTTTACTAAAATGCCCATTAAACTCACAACTGCTGATTCTGGGCCTGAAACTGTTTATGATTTCATAATCTACTTCTAATGTGTGAAACCTAGAAGGTTTACCATCCAAGAGTCTGGTGCTAAAAAGGCCAAGTGAACTGGAAGGAAGGAATAGGAGCAGCTGTAACCTGGCAATAAAAGACTACACACACCTTGACTCCCAAGAAGACAGGCTAAAAGGAGTGCTGGGAAAAGTCTGGCAGCAATAGCAGACTCCAAGGGAGAGATCTGGGTGGCTAAAGGGCAGGGGTGGGAGGGAGATTCCCCGGTACACCTTTTGTCCTGTGAATGTGTTACTTAGTTTTTTAAAAAAGAAAACAAAAATGTGGTGTTTCTAATCATAAAGAGAAACTGGAGAAAGGTTAACTCAGTGCAACCCAGCCTCTCTCACCGCATGCACCTACACAATAGGGATCCAAGAGGGCCACGCTGGCACAGAAGGGAGACACCACAGCAGGCTGGGCCAGCAAGAGAAATGAATGGGCCTGTATGAGCCTGAACCAGTGACCCCTGGCTCCTCAGCCCTGTGTTCACTCACATTAAACCACCAGACATTGGCAAAGCTACTTTTCTCAAAGTGAAAATGAATGCAGGTGTAAACCTCTTACCTTGGATCAGCTTTGGATTCTATCTTCTCGAGGGTTGCCTGTTCTTTGTCTAGTTTCTCACTGTAACTCTTTAACTACAATTGAGAATAGAGGCGTTATTGTTCGGGGGTTGATGGAATAGAAGAATGAGTGTTTCTTGCCCTGGGACCACCAAGGGAGAAGAGTGGAATGTGGGACCCTATCCAGAGAAGCAAAGACGCCAGAGATGGAGGCAGAGACAATGACGAGGAGAGACAGAGCGGCTGGGGTCTCTAGACTCAAGGAGGGAGAGGGGCTGTGTACTGGCAGCTGGGGGACAGGTTTACAGGGTGTACTCTTGTTGTTTGAATGGTTATATATTCCTGAGTGTGTCAGTGTACATCCGAAAAAAAAAAATGAAGAAAAAAGAGGGTTTGGAAGTAAATGCTGTTGAACGATAATGCATGTAGGGGCTTGTAATCATTGCAATGAAATGAAATACTATATAGCATGAATGTAAGTAAAGCTGATGCTCTCCCATGTAAACTATGACTCAATTATATATGTAAAAAAACATGAGTGCTTTCTCTATACCCTGGCTCACATCCGTACCCTTCTGACACAGTACACTGAGAATAACCTATTGCCACGGAGGCAATTCTAACTCAGTGACGCTGCATATCGGGTTGCCAAGATGACCTCCACATGGGAGCAGACAGCCTCTTCTTTCTTATGCAGAGCAGCTGGTGGGTTTGAAGCACCGACCTTGTGGTTAGCAGTCCAATGCTGATCCCACAGATTTGAGAAAATAGGTGCAAGAAAAGAAAGAGGATGGAAGTGGAGGAACAATACAGAAAGGTTAAAATAGACCATTCCTGACATGTCCTGAAAATACATGAAACCTCGGCAATGATTTTAAATTGCTGCAGCAGATGAGTGAGAGGTCATAGGTGATGCTAAGAGCAGGTGGTTTACAGCAGTAAGTGGGTCTTAAAGAGTGGCTATGGAGTAGAATAAGCACTGGACTACTAAGCTAAACACTGGCAGTTCAAACCCACCAGCTGCTCCTTGGAAACGCTATACAAGGTCACTATGAGCCAGAACCAACTTGATGGCACTTAACAATAACATGGAGCCAGATGAACATAGGTTTAAATCTCAGATCATCCTGAACAACTCCACCTTGAAGCAGATAAAACCAAACCATGTTGTTGTTGAGTCTATTCTGCTGGACAGTGACCCTACAGGACAAGGGTGAACTACCCCAGAGGGTTTCTTTATAGACGCAATTTAAACAGCTATAAAACAGAAAAAGGGTAAAACAGTTCATATATATATCACTAAGGATGACCTCCAGTACCTGTTAGGGAAAAATAACTAAGGCAGAAGACCATGAGCACAACAATGCTTCTAACTGTGTATAAAGGAAAGAAAAAGTACATACATGTAATTGCTTGTATATTCATAAAATACTTCTGAAAAGTTTCACAAGAAACTGATTTCACCAGCTGCCTCTGAATAGGGCAGCTGGGTGGTGGGTTACAGGAGAAGGCATACACTGTATCTTTTGAATTTTGAACCATGTGAATGTGTCACCTAGTCAAAAAACAAGTTAAAAACACAATTTCCAAGGGTGCTAGCTGAAAATGACCCAAGCTCTAGTAACCCTATCCTTCCCCAAGCTGTTCTGTGGCTCCCTCTTCCCCACCCCACCTAGGAGATAACCGGCAATGTTGTTGTTAAGTGCCGTCAAGCTGGTTCCCACGCAAACCTGTATAGGGTTTCTGAGGAGCTGCTGGTGAGCTTGAACCACTGACCTTGCGGTTCTAACTGACCTTGCAGTCCAGCACACTAACCCACAGCACCATGTAGTTCTCCTGTCTTTCCAAAATAAATCTCACTCTCAAGGAATTTAGCATGTTGGAGCTAAGGAGTAGGGAACATTTATTGTGCATGACCTTTTCTGCTCTTCCGTGGGCCCCTCCTTGTCTATCAGGCCAGCTGCCCACCTGCTCAGGAAGCCTTGCCCCACTCCTGCAGAACACCAATGTGTTAGAGCATGGCAGTGTGGGTAGCCTGATGGCCCTGCTCACATACTACTATGGAACTATCTTAGGTCCCCATATGTATTAGAAGTCCCTGGGAGCAGGATCAATCTCCCTCAGAGACCGATGACTTGCAGCATCCATTAGGAGTGCAGGTCAAAGATGAACCTGACGAAGGGCCAGAGAGAAAGGACAGTCTTCTCACCTCTGTCAGAGCTTTCTTTCTTTCACAGAACTTGGCTCGTAGGTTGGCATGACTTGCTTGCAACTGAAAAGAAATAAATATTCAGACATTTGCTCATATGATCCTCTCAGCAACATAGATGTAGGTGGTACCCCTACTTCACGGTGAGAAAATGGAATCTCAGAAAGATTTAAACCCAGCAAACATGAGCAATTTAGACGGGTTTATAATAAATGAAAACAAAACAAAAAGAACCCTAATTAACACCAACTATGTATCACGCAGGCTGGTCTTGGGTGCAACAGTTGAGGACAGGACTACAAGGTTGGTGGTTTCAACCACCCAGAAGCATCTTGGAAGAAAGGTCTGGTGATCAAATCCAAAAGGTCATAATCTGGATCACCTGACGGAACTCAGTTCTACTCTGCATTCATGGGGTCATCATGATTTGGAATCAACTCATTGGCAACAGGTTTTTTGGGTTTACATGTAAAAAAAAATAAATAAAAGTGTATCTGAATCCTTCTATCAAATGAAAGATTATTACTCTGATTTTTACACATGAGGAAATAAAGACCCAGAGGGTAGGTTACTTGACTAAGGTCTCAGCTGAAAACTGATATATTCAGGATTCAAATTCAGGTCTAGCTGACTCTTCTATATGGTGCCTATCAATTCAATTCACCAGCTTGCCCATCCACAGGATACAAACCGCCTCTCAGCAGTAAGAATTCTACAATCTGACTGGTTGCCACATTATATCAGATAGAAAAAGGGAGACAGGACTGCAACACTAAGAAAATTAATTACCAATACTGCTCAAAATTATATGCACATAAAAAGTTACAAGCTCACATAAAAAGATATATTGAAAATGTCAAGTTCCTTTTTCTTAACAAAGTATGGTGGTGGTGGTTGTTGTTGTTGTTAAGTGCCATCGAGTCGGGTCCGACCCATAGCGACCCTGTACTGGGTTTCCGAGGGTGTAAATCTTTACGGGAGTAGAAAGCCTCATCTTTCTCCCGCGGAGCAGCTGGTAGTTTCGAACCGCTGACCGTAAGGTTCGCAGCCCGATTCGTAACCACTACGCTACCAGAGCTCCTTAACATAACCTACTATGTTACCAGCTTTGTGCTAAGAATCTTTAGAAAATTGAAAACATTTGTGATTTACCTTAAAAAGCTCAAAGGGACTGTGAACATGTTTTAAAAAGGGAAAAAGTGGCAGATGCTTTGGTATTACCTGTGTACAAACTAAGAATGAGAATTTTCGTCTTCTATACCAGTGATTATTTCAAAATGACCTGTCCCCTTCTTGATGTCACCTTCAGATATTGTTATTTTTAAATTGTGCATCTATAGTTAGTAGGCTTCCAACAAGACTTATCAAAAAGCCAACTCAAGCTGAGAGCAAAAGTGGTAAAGGGAAAAGCAGCTGGAGTCTGCTCTTTCTTTTCAAAGTGAACTATCATATGGGCAATGGCAATTTTTACTGTTTGTAGATGCCAGTTCTAATGGTCAAAATTACTTTTTCTCTTGAGATCCTAGTGATTTAACTCTTGTAGCTCTTGGGGTAGTGTCCTGGTATTTTCTAACCGGCTTCACCCACCTTCCTGCTCATCTCTCACACCTGCACCTACCTACCCACCTGAAACTTACCACATGCCTACTCTACTCAAATGAAATGTGCAGGAGAAAGAGGTGAATGTGACCTGGTCCTTCTGTCAAGGAGCTGGACCAGTGAACTGGGGATAAGCATAAAATAAAGAACCAAAGCAGAGGCAAGCCCAGGGGAGGGCCAAGGAAAGAAAGGTCAACTTGTTCATCAGGGAGGAATGCACTTTTTATGAACTTAAAGCTTTATACAAATGTAAGGAATAAAAGATTAGAATGTTTCTCAAATAAGCCTCGTGAAGGTGGTGGTGGTGGTGGTGGTGGTGTGTCATTGAGTCGCTTCCAACTCACAGCAACCCTATATAGTGTTTCTCAGGCTGTAAATCTTTATGGGAGCAGAAAGCCTTATCTTTCTCCAGCAGAGTGGCTGGTAGTTTCGAACTGTTGACCTTGAAGTTGTGAACCTGACTCGTAACCACTACACTACCAGAGCTCCTTTTAAATCAATATCTAGCTGTGAGCTGCAAGTTCAGCAGTTCCAAACTACCAGCTCTTTCACAGGAGAAAGATGAGGCAATCTGCTCTCGTAAAGATTTACAGCCTCGGAAACCCTGTGTAGGGTCGCTATGAGTCGGAACCAACTCCACGGCACATAACAACAACAACAGGCTTATTTGAAGGAACTCTGGTAGCGTAGTGGTTAAGAGTCAGACTGTATGTATGTAAAGCTAATGTTCTCCCATGTAAACTACCACATAATTCACAAACATTAAAAAAAAAAAAAATATATATATATATATGCTTTTGTCTCAGCCAACTTATTAAGTCCATTTTAATATGGAATGTTTTAACCCCACAAATTGCTGTCACTAAACTTTGTTATTGTCCCTAAAATTTTCCCTTCTACAAAAGGTTGCTCACCTTTGGACTAGTTGGTCTCTAAAATTCCTTCCACTTCTAGTAGTCTATGATTCTATCTGCTAGAAATCACACAGGTAGCACTGTGTGTGCGTACGTATGTACACAAGGTATTCTCAACACATTAAAAACATTATTAAATGCTTTAACCACAACCACCTTAAAATTATAAAGATTAGCTAAAGATTCCATAAAATAATCCTGATCAAAAGGGAAGAATGCAGAATAGAATGTCAAATACTTGGATTTTATCCTTTCTGGAACTATTGAGGCTGGATGAACCCCTGAAACCACTGCTCTGATATAATCTTTAAACCTTAAACTACAAATATCCCCGAAAGTAACTTTATAACTGAATAATATTGTAAGTTGGACTCCTGACATGGCATTTTATGATCAGCACTAGACTGCAAACCACAAAGTTGGCAATTCAAATCCATCAGCTGCTCCTTAGAAATCCTATACAGGGTCACTATGAGCGGAACTGACTCCACAGCACTGAGCAACATCGTAATTTAGCTTGTTGCTGTTGTTGTGAAGTGCTGTCGAGTCGGTTCCAACTCATAGCGACCCTGTATAGGGTTGCTGAGGAGCGACTGGTGAGCTTGAACAGCCAACCTGCAGTTTAAATGGCTTTGCAGTCTGGCACATTAACTCACAGCACCACACCAGGACTCGTTAGACTAGTAAAATAGGTCTGTTTTGAGCACTATGCATTTTAAGAATTATTTATGTAAGATCAAACTGACAACAGCAACTTGAAAGATTAGATAGGAACCTTAAGAGGCAGTGAGTTTATGTTAATGAGGAAAAAACAACTCAGGAAAAAAGGAAGAGAATGGTTATACAACTCAAAGAATCTAACCAAACTGTCACAATGTGAAGCAGCTGACATACGTTTGCTGTGTATATTCTTAACCTAACAACATAAATAAAATTGAGAGGAAAAAAAAAGACAGCTCCGTTTCCTGCCTTTCCCTGCCACCAGGGAAAGCTGTTCACAATTCATGTCGACTACCATCTCAGGCTCTTAATGGTTCTCCCTGAACATTTGTCCATCTCCAATTAATTCATGCTTTCACAGCAAACAGAATGGTTTCTGAAACATACAAATCTCCCCTACTTAGTCCCTCCAATGGTCTCCACTGTCTTTAACATGACCTGGAAGGTCCTGTGTGATCACATTCTGCTGACCAGCTGTCTTTCTCATGAAGTTACAGCTATAAAACTAAAACCAGCCAAGTCCATTCCGTTCCAAGTCTTTGTTCATTTTGCTCCGTAAGTCCAAACTTTAAACCCCCACATCACCTCCCACATCTCCCAGACTTCCTATCTGGCCAACTCTTACCCACTTTTCCAGGCCCTGAAGCCAGTTTGGGTCTCCTTATTAACTATTCTTCCAGCTCCTTAGGCTTCTCTTTGAGCACTTATACCAGCCATAATTAAATGATGATGTATGTGGATGTCTTCCTATAAGACTGTAAGATTCTGGACTAACGTGTGCTTCACTCATCCCATAGCCTACTTCAATGCCAAGCTTACAGTAAACTGAACTGGTTGTCTTTGAGTTGATTCTGACTCAGGCACCATGGGGTTTTCAAGGCTGATTCCTCACAGGTAGATCACCAGGCCTTTCTTTCAAACACACAGTAGTGTTCAATAAACACCTGTGAATTAATAAATACTACTCTTGCCACCTGATCTTCCACAGCAGAGGCTGGCAAACTTTTTCTATAAAGGGTCAAATATTAAATATTTTTGGCTTTGCAAGTGCTTTGACCTCTGGTGCAAATATTTCCTTAACTCTGCCACTGTAACTTGAAAGCAGCCGTAGATAATAGGTAAGTAAATGGGTGCGCATGCACTCACATCAAACTTTACTTAGAAAAACAGGTAGCAGCTACCTTATTCCAAGGGCCATATGTTATCCTGTTATAATCTTCTTTAATTATTATTCAAGATCTTTTCTCCAATTTCTCCCTTCTTTGAAGAATGGTTTCATTTTACTTAACTAAAATTATAAAAAGAATTACCAACCTCTTCCAGATGTTTGGTCTTCTGCACAATCTGCTTGTTCAGGGAAATGATTTTCCGACGTTGTAGCTGAGAAGCTCCTAATTTTTCTGGACTATCTTCAGCTGACAGCTCAGATTGCTGGAGGCAAAAAAGGGGGGCAAACCCAGAGGATTTTATTAGTCTACCTGGACTCATGTAAGAACCCTACCTGCTCAGTCTAGGCAGAGCAGTACTGGTCAGTCAGTCAAAACCAAGCCAAAGTAGCTATGGGGCCCTATGCACAACCCAGGTCCAGGGAAGGAGATTCTGAGAAAACCACCCACTTTAGCATCAGAATTTGCATTCCCAGCAGATGGACCAGCATAAGCAAAAGCATGTACAAGGGCGCTTCAAAACATTTGTGTGAAAATTTAATTTAAAGATAATGGACAGCTTAGAGGGGGTTAAAAGGCGTTGAGATAGGTCAAGAAGGATACTTCAGAAATTATGTAAATGAGGATGATATGAAGAAGGTTGGACAGGGTTTAGAGACTGTCAGAATTGGAAAAGAGCAGTTTCAGGACGTGCTGGTGTGGTGAATGTGGGGAATGGAATTACTGAGAAACCACAGAGAGAAGGAATCAACTTGGGAAGAGAATGAGTATTTGCTCAAGATCTCAGGGAGAAGCTCAGAAAAAAAAAATACACAAGAAAGTTGACCATGGTGAACTTCTTGGACGATTATAGAAAGTTTTATTAAACAAATATCCTTTATGACCAGATTTCCTTTGTTATCCCAAATCCAACTTAGCCATTACTTTTAAGTCCAAGTACAACAAAATTACTTAGGTATTTGATTTTCCCTGCATGTTTGGACTTAAAAGTCTGGTATATTTACCCTTGAGGAAGGAGCCAGGGATGGGAAAATGAAGAGAAATGGGGAAGGCCCCGTTGCCACTCACTGGGTTAAAAACTTCCCTGAATAATTCAGCAGCTTCATTAACAGATGATGAGTGTTTTTCTGCTTAACAGCTGTGGAGGTAAATACAACCAACAGCATATGGTTGCATAAAAGTTAAAGAAATACCATTTTCTATTTCCTGGGTAGGTAGACCATAAAGAAAATAGGCATTTGTTACAGCAATGTATCTAGACTTGAAAGCTGGAAAAAACTGTAAAATGTTAACAAACATACTCTAGACTATAGCTTTGGGCCTTTGGAGTTATCTTCCTAAATGCATTCAATTTTATAAATACCAAGATTGTCACAACCTGCAGTTGGGGGCGAGGAGAACTGTTTCTGAATATTATTTTAGGGTGTCAGAAAAAGGAGAAGAGGATAGACTCCCTCCATCTCTGACTCACTTAACAACAACAGAATTACTATGAACTAATAATAATAAGAGGACTTAAAACATTTACTGATGAAGATCACAGAGCACAGCCTTCGGTATGGATTACATTTCATTGTAAAGAAAACAAAGATCCTCACCACTGGACCAATAAACAACATTCTTATCAACGGAGAAAAGATTGAAGTTGTCAAGGACTTCATTCTTCTTGGATCAACCATCAACGCTCACGGAAGCAGCAGTCAAGAGATCAGATGACAGACTGCACGAGGCAAATCTGCTGCACAAGACCTTTTTAAAGTGTTGAGCAAAGATGTCACCTGACCCAAGCCATGGTATTTTCAATAACCTCATATGCATGTGAAAGCTGGACAGTGAATAAAAAAGACCACAGAAGAATTTATGCCTTTGAGTTATGGTGTTGGAGGAGAATATTGAAAGTGCCATGGGCTGTCAAAAGAACCAATAGATCTGTTTTGGAAGAAGTGCAGCCAGAGTGCTCCTTAGAGGCCAAGATGGCCAAACTTTGTCTCTCATACTTTGGACATATTGTCATGAGGGACCAGTCACTGGAGAAGAATATCATGTTTGGTAAGGTGGAGAGTCAGAGAAAAAGAGGAAGACCCCCAACGAGATGGATTGGCCAAGTGGCAGCATCGATGGACTCAAGTGTGGCAACAGTAGTGAGGTTGGCTCAGGATTGGGCAGTGTTTCCTTCTGCTGTGCATAAGGTCGCTATGGGTCGGTACCAACTCGATGGCACCTAACAACAACAACAATAATTACATCTCCCCACTCTGGCTGTGTCACTCTGAATCAGAAGATTAATTTGGCCCATTTAACCCATCATATAGTGAATAGTTTCCCTACAGCTAATTTCAACTCTGGGTTTTAACATCCAACAGAGATTCCCTAACACTCTCTTCCACAGTACCAGTGGAATAACCTCAGAGCATTTTACTTTTACTAGAGGAATTATATGTCTTATAGCTCATGATTTGTTGACATTTTAAGTAGGCTTCCCATTCACTTGAACTACCCCACATGGCAGATGTCTCTGCTTGACATCACATGGTCCCGCACAACTCTTTCAGGCATCTGTAAGGTGAAAACTCTTTTCATAATGATACTAAGATGCTATTTGCTTTATGCATCTTTTCCATTCTCATTCTCTCATGGATATACAGTAGAATTTTACAAATGCTACATGTGATGATGTTATCAAAGTGATAACATTAACATGTAATATTTGGAAAAGAAGTCCTGAGACTGTATTTTGAGAAACACTACTTTATTCTAAGTGGCCTATCTTACTAGAGAATCCATCCATTGATTGGGACGGCTTCATTAGCATTCGACTCACAATGAGTAGGTCCACCAAGGGGTCACATTCACGTAACATTGAGAGAAGAAAGTAGTTTCTGATTCTTCTCCTGGACAGATGATTCAATACAAACAGAGAAAATGCTTGCAGAGCAAAGAAGAGATCTTGAAGTTATAAGTCTATATACAGACCAACTATTGCATCTCTGATATAAGGATACAAGTATATGTATGTTTCAAGTAAACTTGGGCTTTCAAAACATTTTCTGTCACTGCTAAGTACCAAGTCTCACTGGCTCAGGTGTTGTCAAGAGCTGTCAACCCTGTACAGGGTTTCCAAGGAGTGGCTGGTGAGTTTGAACCAGTGACATTGCAGTTCAAACTGACCCTGCAGTCGAATGCTTATCCTATGGTGTCATACCTGGACTCAGTTACATTTGCATTTGTAAAGCATTGTTGTTGTTGTTGTTAAGTGCCATCGAGTCAGTTCCAACCCATAGCGACCCTGTACAGGGTTTATGAGGGTGTAAATCTTTACGGGAGTAGAAAGCCTCATCTTTCTCCCACGGAGCGGCTGGTAGTTTCGAACCGCTGACCTTAAGGTTCGCAGTCCGATTCGTAACCACTACGCCATTACTACACACTAATACCAGGGTAGTACGTATAATTTCTATATCTGACATTTCTCTAGCCCAATTAAAATGAATAAAATGCATATGAACAAGTCCATAGAATATATACATTTGTGAGCTCTTCCCTTTGTCTTTGAGTGCTTAAGGAAGCTGCTTTGTTTAATGGAAAGTAATTTTTGGACAAATATAAGTTTATTCCAAAGCTTAACTGAAGATAGTTTCTCACCTAGTCAATGGAAAGCTGACTGCTCTATTTCTCCAAATATCCCTTTTATTGGTGGTGGTGTGCTGTGGAGTCAGTTCCACCTCATAACGACCCTGTATAGGGTTTCCAAGGCGGTAAATCTTTACAGGAGCAGAAAGCCTCATCTTTCTCCCACGCAATAGCTGGTAGTTTCAAACTGTCAGCTAGTTTTGAACCTTGAGACTAGCAGTACGACTTGTAACCACTATACTACCAGAGCTCCTTATACCTTTTATTAAGTACTCTAAATTTTTATTTCTTTCACATAACCTCCCCAAAGCCATGAGAATTCAGAGTGATACAGACAGAAATTGGTCCATAAAGCAGTTATGTCTCATGCTGATGGTCTGGTCATTGACAATTAGGATAGGAAGGAAAGCTGAGAATAGTCAGTTAGATCTGGAAGATGAGATAAGGTTGGAGAGATGGAAATGAGGACAGAGAGCTTTAATATGCAATCCTCAACAGAAAACAATGGAATTTGGGAGCATCTTAACTGAATTCTACATGCAACATTTCTCAAAGAATGCCAACCTATCTACAAATAGTCAATTTGTGTTTACCTTACAATTAGGATAATAATGCTAATCTAAATTTGTCCAATGAGTTCAGATTACGAATATGCTTTTAAAAGTCAGTGTGGACTAAGATGACTCTACTATAGATTCAATGTTTTCTAATAATTGATAGTCGCAACTTCTATTCTTAGAGGAAACATGAAAATGTCATCCGATAGTCTTAATCCAGTTCAGAATGGTAAATTCTTACACGAAACAGAAAATGATTAACTAATACTATATACTTTTCGTAATAGAAAGAGACCTAAGAGGTCACCTACACATCACCTTTCTTCCTAATTCAGGAATGTCTCCTGTCATCCCTTCTCCCCACCAATAGGTGGGCACGAATCTGACAATCAAAAAAGAATCCCTACCTCACAAGGGTGCCAGTCCTTCTCTACACTAAACAGAGTCCTTCCAATGAAACAAGTCAACAGATAAGACAAATTACCTTAGAAATATCTTTTAGAAAATCTCTGAGGTAACAAGAAATCCTAGAAGCTCAAAGAGTAAGTGAAAGTGGGAATCCAGGGCGGTAGCTGTACTGGTAAAGTTAGCTTTTTTTCTTGAGAGTATTTGCCAAAGCCAGGTAATTTTAAGCTTTGATTTTTACAACTAAGCAACTACAGTGCATAAACATTAGCAAAAGAAGAAAAACTACACACTGATTATTTTCTAACAACAAATCCTCTTTGTTAGTTCACCTAACCTTTGCTGAGGCCGTATGATGTGCTGGACAAATGACAGAGGCCTTATCTGTGGAGATTCAGTCTAGTCAGGTAAGACACACTCTTTCATAAATGTGTGTAACCTTCCCTTGTCCCTGATGCTTATCTTGTGCTATGGAAGAAGAGAGATTTGATACCTCTTTTTTCTCCTTCTCCCTCTCCTTTAAGGAATGTTCATGAAAACCCCCAAATGTCAGGCTGTGGAGATAAATAATGACTCCAGTTCTCATGCTAAACAAACATTCAGGCAAACAGACAAAACAGTGCATTGTGAAACGTGCTATGAAGGAAACGAGTGGATCTCCACAACATCAGAGAAG